ATGTGGTACAACTAGAACTTTCACACATTGCTGATATATGTCTATGTTCAAGTGTTTGAAACAAATACTCATGTTTCACATGCAAAGGATATAGCTCTAGAATTCAAAAAAATTGGAATCTTGCTCAGTGTGAGAGAAAAACAAGAAAAAAAATTGGAATCTATTTTCATGATACCCTGACAATCCCTTTTTCTCTAAAAGCCAGCTTTAATGAGTGATAGTTATAGGACTTCATTAATCTCAGTAAACTACAGATTAGCGAAAATCTGAAATATTCAATGTACAATAAATGTGGTCTAGGATGTTCTGCTTATATGCCTGAATTTTTGTCACTTAAGCTATAACTATGAATCTGTAGTAATACACTGCCATTTTCATTTAAGCATTCAAATGCTTTTTTTTTTTTTTTTTTTTGATATAGAGTCTCACTCTGTCATGCCGGCTAGAGTACACTGGCACAATCATGACTCACCGCAGCTTTAAACTTCTGGGCTTAAGCAATACCCCTGCCTTACCTTCCTGAGTTGCTGGGACTACAGGCACACACCACTGAGCTTGGCTAATTTTTTATTTTATTTTTTGTAGAGATGGGGTCTTGCTATGTTGCCCAGGCTGATATTGAAGTTCCGGATTCAAGCAATCATCCTGCCTCAGCCTCTCAAAAATGCTAGGATTACAGACATGAGCTACTACCACACCCAGCCTCTTTTTTGAAGATTTTTTAAAAAAGAAACTACTTTTTAGTAAAGAATCCTATTTTGGAGCCACCGTATATTGAAAATGTTTGCCTCTCCTTAAATAATGTTTCTGGGCTGGGCGCAATGGCTCACGCCTGTAATCCCAACACTTTGGGAGGCTGAGGCAGGTGGATTGCTTGATTTCAGGAGCTCGAGACCAGCCTAGACAACATGGTGAAACCCTGTCTCTACCAAAAATACAAAAATTAGCTGGGCATGATGGTGCTCACCTGTAGTCCCAGCTACTTAGAAGGCTGAGGTGGAAGAATTGCTTGAGACCAGGAGGCAGAGGATACAGCAAGCCAAGATTGCACCACCGCACCCCAGTCTGGGTGGCAGAATGAGACCTCATCTCAAAAATAAATAAATAAATAAATAAATAAATAAATAAATAAAAATTTTTTTTACAATTCCTTTCCCAGATGTGAAAAATTCTGAATATGATTTTTTGGACTAAGATCTCTGTTTTATTGAACAATACAAAAATTAATTTTTGTCTTTAAATCACTTTGCTTTATGGAACTAGAATAAACAAGAAGGTTGGTAGATTTATAATCAGCAGCCTATATATCCATATATTCATTTATTATAAGCCCATTACTGAGACAGAGGCTGTTAGAGACCTTTGTATCCAGAGACCCATTGGATACTTACTCATCAGAATTCTTTTCTTTTTTTTTTTCTTTTCTTTTATTTTCCTTTCTTTTCTGAGACAGGGTCTTGCTCTGTCACCCAGGCTGGAGTGCAGTGGCATACTCATAGCTCACTGCACCCTCGACATCCTGGGCTCAAGCTACCCTTCCACCTCAGCTTCCCTAGTAGCTGGGACTACAGGCATGCACCACCATGCCCAGCTAATTTTTTTTTATATATATTTTTTTAGAGACAGGGTTTCACTACATTGCCCAGGCTGGTCTTGAACTTCTGGGCTCAAGTAATCCACCTGCCTTGGCCTCCCGAGTGTTGGGATTAAAGGCGTGAGCCACCATGCCCGGCCCAGAATTATTTTCAACCAGGGAACAAGAAATAGATACCAGCCATCGAATCTTTGCTTGGAATAGCTGTTATGAGTCTCAGTAATGTGTTATAATTTTAAGCTCCAAGAACTAAAATAATTAGGTGTAAATATGATGGATGAGATGCACATTCTTTTAGGACAGCACTTTGAAGAGTCAAACAATTTGAGGAATTCGTTACGTTGGATTGCAGAAAATAGACAGCTTGCTAATTACCAAGCTAAATGAATGAATATATTCTTTATAACCCTATTGGAAGACTTGTTTGGGCCGGGCGCGGTGGCTTACGCCTGTAATCCCAGCACTTTGGGAGGCTGAGGCGGGTGGATCACGAGGTCAAGAGATCGAGACCATCCTGGTCAACATGGTGAAACCCCGTCTCTACTAAAAAAAAAAACTCCAAAAAATTAGCTGGGCATGGTGGTGCGTGCCTGTAATCCCAGCTACTCAGGAGGCTGAGGCAGGAGAATTGCCTGAACCCAGGAGGCGGAGGTTGCGGTGAGCCGAGATCGCGCCATTGCACTCCAGCCTGGGTAACAAGAGTGAAAACTCCGTCTCAAAAAAAAAAAGAAAGACTTGTTTAATAATGTTGAGGGACACATTTTGTTTTGTTTTTTTGAGACAGGGTCTCACTCTGTCAACCAGGCTGGAGTACAGTGGTATGAGCTCAGCTCACTGCAACCTCCCCGTCCTGGGTTCAAGTGATCCTCCTGCCACCTGAGTAGCTGGGTTTATAGGTGTGCACCACCATGCCCAGCTTATTTTTTGTATTTTTAGTAGAGACGGGGTTTCAGCATGTTGGCCACGCTGGTCTTGAACTCCTGATCTCAAGCAATCTGCCCATCTCAATCTCCCAAAGTGCTGGGATTACAGGCATGAGCCACCATGCTTGGCGCAAAGGACAGTTTAATAATGTCATTTTTACAAAATAGAGCAGTTATTACTAAATGAAACATAAAAGATTTCTAATACACAAGAAATACTGTACTATACATATAGTTTTACTATGGTAAAGTAAGGTGCTTACATAAATAATTATTTTGATTACGTATATGCACAGGTAAAGATTAGATTTTAAATTTAGTTTTGGGATTTTTAGAAAGTATTTGAACAAGTCAAGTTAATGTTATGTTTAGTGCAAATTTATTGAATAAAACCATTCACCTATCTTGTTTAAAATATTAATAGTTTTGCTACTTTATTTTTTAAGCATATGTTCAGAAATACTTTATATCTGTGGGTGGACTGGATGTATTGGCTCAAGTTCTCATGCAACTGGAATCTGATTCACATGAGACTCTTTCCAGTGCTAAACTTGCAGTGGTTGTGACAAAGACTGTGGATGCATGCATTGCTGATAATCGTGAGTAACAATGCTTACTAGATGTTTTGAAATTGAATTTTGTTTGAATATAGCATGATTACTGTTGAAATAGTAAATTAAATGGTAACATGGTTTAGACTAACAGTTTCTCACAAGTGAAACGGAGCATTAGAAATTATCCAGGCCGGGCGCGGTGGCTCACGCCCATAATCCCAGCACTTTGGGAGGCCGAGGCGGGTGGATCACGAGGTCAAGATATCGAGACCGTCCTGGTCAACAGGGTGAAACCCCATCTCTACTAAAAATACAAAAATTAGCTGGGCGTGGTGGCGCACGCCTGTAGTCCTAGCTACTCGGGAGGCTGAAGTAGGAGAATTGCTTGAACTCAGGAGGTGGAGGTTGCGGTGAGCCGAGATTGCGCCATTGCACTCCAGCCTGGGTAACAAGAGCAAAACTCCATCTCAAAAAAAAAAAAAGAAATTATCCAACATAGCCGGGTACAGTGGTTCATGCCTATAATCCCAGCACTTTGGGAGGCCCAGGTGGGCAGATCACTTGCAGTCAGGAGTTCAAGACCAGCCTGGCCAACCTTGTCTCTACTGAAAATACAAAAGTTAGTCAGATGTGATGGCAGGTGCCTGTAATCCCAGCTAATCAGGAGGCTGAGGCAAGAGAATCACTTGAACCCTGGAGGCAGAGGTGCAGTAAGGGAGCTGAGATCATGCCACTGCACTCCAGCCTGGGCAGCAAGAGCAAAACTCCATCAAAAAAAAAAAAAAAAATACAGCATTAAGTTAAAATTTTCAGACTATGCATGGTGGCTCTCGCCTGTAATCTAGTACTTTGGGAGGTCAAGATGGGAGGATTGCCTGAGGCCAGGAGTTTGAGACCAGCTTGGTCAACATAGCAAGACTCTATCTCTCAAAAAAAAAAAAAAATTTAAAAGTTTCAGATGAGAAACCAAGGGATATTATTGAGATTAAGGAATGGCAAACTCAATTTATGTAAAGAATACATCTCTTTCTGCCAAGTATGAGGTTGGACTTACCCAATAGCATTGCTAGTGAGTGGCGGAACCAGACTTGAGCTCATGGCTGCTGCTTCTCACATGTGCAAACATTGAAGAGTAAGAAACTGTTTGTATTAACAAATAACTGGGGGGCAAAAAATAGATGGTTTTTGAAAAAGTGGTTATTTAGCTCAGCTATATGCTGAGCTTTATGAGTACAAAAGTGATTAAGACGTAGTCCCTTAGGAATTCACAACTTTTTTGTTGATATTAGTATGGTTAGACTCTGGGTGAACTCTTTTAAAAGCCCCATTAGGAGAAGTATAGCCTAAAATGGTGGACTTTTAGACTTTTATCACATCTCAGCATAGCTTCACATATGCTTTATTGCATCAATAAGTCAGTAGAACTGTAGTCAGTTAATAGTATATTTTTTATTTTGAGACAGCGTCTCACTCTGTTGCCCAGGCTGGAGTGCAGTGGTGCGATCTTGGCTCACTGCAACCTCTGCCTCCTGGGTTCAAGCAATTCTCCTGCTTCAGCCTCCCAAGTAGCTGGGACTACGGGTGCCCACCACCATGCCTGGCTAATTTTTTTTGTATTTTTAGTAGAGGCGTGTTAGCCAGGATGGTCCCAGTCTCCTGACTGATCTGTTCACCTTGGCCTCCCAAACTGCTGGGATTACAGGCATGAGCCACCGTGCCTGGCCCAATAGCATATTTTAAATGTCAGCAGGAACTGATTATGTAGGAAAGTCTTTACTATTCAATCTAGATAAGAAGAAGCATGTAAGGAGAGAGTAACCATACTCAGCTTTTAGGAAGTTAGTTTTACTTCATCCTCACAGGATTCTGCAGAACAATTAAGAAAAAAAATTCTTCAAAAAATTTGCTTTAGTAATATGTCTTTAGTATGGGAAGAAAAAGTAATGAGGGTTATGGTAATAAGCCACCATCTTATTACAATGAATTTATTTGTATTCACACATACACATATTTATTAGACGTTATGTGTATATTTAATGTTATATAGATATATAACATTCTACCTGAATAAACTCTGAAAAATGTATTAGTATATATGTAAGTTTTAAATTTTTACTGAGTATCTCTTTTTCCTATTTTGTACTAATAGCTACTTTTGGGATAGTACTCTGCAAGTACCACATTGTTTCAAAACTTCTGGCATTACTGCTTCATGAAAGTCTGGATTCAGGAGAAAAATTTAGCATTATACTCACTCTTGGTCATTGCACAGAGGATTGTGGTATGTGTTAGATTTATTGAGTGTGGTTATTAAAATAGTAGAGTGGAAATATACTTCTGTTTTTTTCTTCCAGTCATGTGAAGGTCTTAAAGGTATTGCTTTTGCCAGGTGCAGTGGCTCACACCTTGTAATCCCAGCACTTTGGGAGGCCAAGGTGGGTGGATCATGAGGTCAGGAATTCAAGACCAGCCTGACCAACATGGTAAAAATCCATCTCTACTAAAAATACAAAAATTAGCCAAGCGTGATAGTGGGGGCTTGTAATCCCAGCTACTCAGGAGGCTGAGGCAGGTGAATCACTTGAACCCAGAAGGCGGAGGTTGCAGTGAGCCGAACTGTGCCACTGCACTCCTGCCTGGGTGACAGAGTGAGACCCGGTCTCAAAAAAAAAAAGAACGAAAAAAAAGTATTGCTTTTCTCCTAGTTATTCAGACCCCAAACTAGTCATTTCAACTTCTAATTCTCCTTCACTCGTTGTATTAAGTCAGCCATGAAGATCTGTGATTCTACTTCTGTTTATCCCTTTCTGTCCAGTTCCAGTGCTGTCCTCCCAAAGTAGGCTCTTAGCTCTACAACATCTTTCACCAATATTATTGCAGTGATTTTCTCACTGCAGCATAGGGAGAAAGCTCCTTCCCTTCTGTCTTCATTTTTAGTCCACTCTGCACATTGCTGGACAAACTAATTCTGTTCTCCTTGTTAAAACTTTCAAAGATTCCTTCTTTTTCTACCTATTACTCTCTTTTCCCTCTCCTCTCCTCTCCTCTCCTCCTCCTCCCCTCCTCCTCCCCTCCTCCTCCCCTCCTCCTTCCCACCCTTCCCCTCCCCTCTCTCTCTCTTCTCTTCTCTTCCTTCTCCCCCTTTTATTTTCCTCCTCCTCCTCTCTACTTTCCTCCCATTCTTCTTCCGTTTTACCAACTCTCTCTACCTTCCTCTCCACCCATCTCTATTCTTCTAATCTCCCCGCCCCACTCTTTCCCCTCTCACTTTTCTGCTCTCCTCCCTTTGCTTTTTGTTGCTGCTTTTACTCTTTCTTCCTTCCCTCACTTTCTACTCCCTCTGCTAGTTTATTTATCTGTTCTTCACCTTAACCTCTGTGTAATTTAGGATTGAATATACTCTTTTTCTAGTCAAGTGAGGGCAGTCTGTTTACTTTTATGAATTATGATACTACTCTGTGGCTACATTTCAGAAATCACTTATGAAACGGGTATTATGTGTAAGTGAATTACTTTCCATATTAAAAATCCTTTTGAAACTATGTGTTTTTCTATTTAAATTTTTTTTTTTTTTTTTTTTTAAGTCTCACTCTGTTGCCCAGACTGGAGTGTAATAGCACGATCTTGGCTCACTATAGCCTCTGCCTCCCAGGTTCAAGCAGTTCTCATGCCTCAGTTTTCTGAGAAGTTGGGATTACAGGTGCCTGCCGCCATGCCCAGCTAATTTTTTTGTATTTTTTGTAGAGATGGGGTTTTACCATGTTGGCTAGGCTGGCCTTGAACTCCTGACCTCAAGTGATCCACCCATCTCAGCCTCCCAAAGTGCTGGGATTACAGGAGTGAGCCACTACACCCAGCCTATTTTTAACATTTTTAACTATGTTCATAATTGTCACAAGGAAAAATTATGACCTCATATATAGTTTCTGATAAAATTATTATTCCCTTTAATTTTTTGTTTTCCAGAGGAAAATCAGTATGACCTGTTTAAACACAACGGCCTTCCACTTATGATTCAAGCCTTAACTGAATCTCAGAATGAGGAACTGAACAAAGCTGCCACATTTGTGCTTTACAACTGCAAAAAAATTAGTAAGTTTACTGTTACTTTAAGGACACACCAACCAAAATTTATAAAGGGGAATTTATATCTGCTTTCATGAGCCAAGCTCTTTTAGCTCTCAGATTCTTCTTACCTTTGAAAAGCAGAGTAGGTCCTGCACAGTGGCTCATGCCTGTACTCCCAGCACTTTGGGAGGCCAAGGCAAGATCACTTGAGTCCAGGAGTTTACCAGCCTGGGCAACATGGAGAAATTATGTCTCTATAAAAAAAATTTAAAAAATTATCTGGGCATGGTGGTGCATGCCTGCCAGCTACTTGGGAAGCTGAGGTAGGAGGATCATCTGAGCTCAGGAGGTGCTCAGGTTGAGGCTGCAGTGAGCTTTGTTCACAACACTGCCTTCCAGCCTGGGTTATAGGGTGAGACCTTGTCTCAAAAAAAAATCAAGAGTATGTAATTTGGATATGACAACTAGGGTATATTCAGCATATACAAACCTATGTGGAAGAGAACAGCAGTATAGATTATTCACTATTTTATGCCATGTGCACAAATTTCATTTGTAGGAATTAAATTTGAGGACTAAGTTTTATTTATTATTAAATCATAAGTACATTTATTTATTTTAAAATGTTTTGAGTGTCTGTTATATGCTGAGCAGTGTGCTAGGCATCAGGGATACAGAGATAAAAAAAAAAAGTCTGTGTATTCACAGAGCTTAATTCGAGAAATAGTAACTCAAAAAATGAGATTATGGGTTGATGCAGTGGCTCAGACCTGTAATCTCAGCACTTTGGGAGGCCAAGGCAGGCGGATCAGGAGGTTAGGAGATTGAGAGAGTTAACTAGGTTAAAAGAAAGGAGTTTGTTATTAGTGAGTGTCTCAGGCATACGCGACAATGAGGCACAAAGGCCCTGTGATGGAGGGAGCCTGGTGCACTTAAGGAATTGATGGCCAATGTAGCTTGAGCTCAGAGGGCAGTGGCCATAAGAATTTTGATCTTTGTGGAAGAAAAACTACAGATACACTATGTTTAAAAAAATGTATTTAAAAGATTATAGGAAGGAATCACTTTATGAACATTATTATTTTTAAAAACTACTTTTTTTTTTTTAAATGAAGTCTTGTTCTGTTGCCCAGGCTGGAGTGCAGTGGTGCAACCATGGCTCACTGTAGCCTCTGCTTCCTGGGTTCAGGGGATTCTTGTGCCTCAACCTCCCAAGTATCTGGGACTACAGGGCATGCCACGATGTCTGCCTAATTTTTGTTTTTAAGTAGAGTTGGAGTTTCACCATATTGGCCAGGTTGGTTTTGAACTGCTGACCTCAAGTGATCCTCCTGCCTCGGCCTCCCAAAGTGCTAGGATTACAAGCGTGAGCCACTGTGCCCGGGCTAAAAATATAACTACTTTAAAACCAGTATCCATGTACCTGAGGGTGTTTATGTGCCTGGCATAACATATTTGCATGTTCTTTCTTCTGTAACTCTGAAGAGTAAAGTATAATTTATGACAGTTTGAGTCCTGGGCCTCTGCTAAGTACTCTTTCCACTTATTTTTCAGTACCAATTAAGCTGTTAAGATAGTCTGGATGGAAAAATTTATAGAAAGCAGAGGGTAGGGTGTGAGGTTGTCTTTATATATAAAGTGTTTAAATAACCTTTCATTCATTGTTTTTTCCCATATTACAAAGCTGAGAAATTATCTCTCAGTCTAGGAGAATATCCTTTTGATGAAAATGAAACACAGCAATTAAAGGACATAAATGTGAATGAGAAGAATTTCGAAGAGCACTGGAAGAAAGCAAAGGAAATTCTACACAGAATAGAACAGCTTGAAAGAGAAGGAAATAGGGTTGGATTATTTGTTTTAAAGAATATAGAACTTTTTTCAAATTTTAAAAATTTATTTCCTTTTTCTCCACACTACACTGACATGAATTAAAAAAAAATTTTTTTTGAGACATAGTCTTACTCTGATGCCCAGGCTAGAGTGCAGTGGCACAATCTCGGTTCACTGCAACCTCTGCCTCCTCGGTTCAAGTAATTCTCATGTCTCAGCCTTTCAAGTAGCTGGGATTACAGATGTGTGCCACCATACCCCATTAATTTCTTTGTATTTTTAGTAGATACAGGGTTTTCCTCATGTTGGCCAGACTGGTCTCAAACACCTGACTTCAAGTGATCCACCTGCCTCAGCCTCCCAAAGTACTGGGATGACAGGCTTGAGCCACCATGCCCAGCCAATATTTTTTAACAGTAGCAGTTGGAGGGTAAAAAAATGTTTTCTTCCCAAGTTATTTTTTAAAGTTTTTAATGGTTTTAAATGGAAAACTCCACAGTAATACTTGAAGAATCATGCTTTGACATAGAACAAAAAAGATTTTTACAAAGTAGAAATGATGACTGAAAAGACAGGAAACATGGAATATTGAGCCAAGAGATCTAACACCTGAATAATTGGGGTTCCAGAAAGAAAAAAAGAAGTAATAATCTAATAACCTCTCTCCTCTCTATATATTTTTCTATGAATGCATGCTTTGTGTCTTTGTATGTGCATATATTTAAAAAAATAAAAACAGGCCAAGCACAGTGGTTCATGCTTGTAATCCCAGCACTTTGGGAGGCCAAGATGGGTGGATCATGAGGTCAGGAGTTTGAGACCAGCCTGACCAACACGGTGAAATCCTGTCTCTACTAAAAATACAAAAATTAGCTGGATGTGGTGGTACACACCTGTAATCACAGCTACTCGGGAGGCTGAGGCAGGGGAATCGTTTGAACCCGGGAGGCAGAGGTTACAGTAAGCTGACATAGCGCCACTGCACTCCAGCCTGGGAGACAGAGCAAGACTCCATCTCAAAATAAATAAATAAAAACATAATCTCCAAGTTAGTATAATATAGTGGTTTTATTAATTGTCTGAGTAGTATTCACTATTACAGATGTGCCATAATTGATTTAACCAGTCCTTTATTGTTGGACATGTAGGTTATATTTAAATTCTCACCATTGCAAACAACTCTAAATACCTGCTACACATGTACGTGTGTGTGTGTGTGTGGGTGTGTGTGTGTGTGTGTGTAAATTCTGTAACAGCTTTATTGAGATACAAGTCATATACCGTAACCGTTCACCCATTTAAAGTACGGCCATCCCTTGGTATCTATGGGGGATTGATTCCAGGACCTCCCACAGATACCCAAATTCATGGATGCTGTGAACCTTAGGGGAAGTTTTGGCAAGTTATTTAATCTCTTTGTGCTTGAGCTTCATCATTGACAAATGGAGAAAATAATAGTACCTCTCAAATACCTAGATAGACATAGTTTTTATTACGAAAGATACTGTCAAATCGTTTCTCCACAGAAGTTGTATCAACTTATACCCCCACTAGTAATGTTTAAGAGTATCTGTTTCCAGGCCAGTTCAGTGGCTCAAGCCTGTAATCCCAGCACTTTGGGAGGCTGAGGTGGGCAGGATCACCTGAAGGTCAAGAGTTCAAGACTAGCCTGACCAAAATGGTGAGACTTCATCTCTAAAAGAAAAAAAAAATTTTTTTTTCCAAAAAAAAAAAGAGTATCTGTTTCCCCACAGCCTTTTGATCTTTGTCGGTGTGATAGATGAAGAAAGATATCTCAATGTAGCTTTAATATTTATTTCTCCTAAGTGGGATGAAACATTTTTTCTTATGTTTAAGAGCTATTTATATTTATTTTTCTATAGACTATCTGTTCATCTTCTGTGCCTGCTTTTTCATGCTATCATTGATCTTTTTCATATTTCATTGTAGTCGCTTTTTATAAATTTTATTTTAAAAAAATTATCCTCCAGCTTGAACAACATGGTAAGTACCCTGTGTCTACAAAAAAAATACAAAACAATTAGCCTGGTGTGGTGGTATGTGCCTGTGGTCCCAGCTACTCAGGAGGCTGAGGTGGGAGGATTACTTCAGCTCAGGAAGTCGAGGCTGAAGTGAGCTGTGATCATGCCACTGCACTCTAGCCTGGGCAACAGACAAAGACCCTATCTAAAAAAAAAAATTATCCTGTTGCTTAAGATATGCTTTATACATATTACTTCTGGGTGTTTTGATAGTCATTTGGTTTTACTTCTGGTTCTTTATTCCTGAGATCCCTGCCCAGAATAACATATTTGGTTTCTAGCAGAACTTTAAATTTTTTTTATGTGGTTGAGTATATTAGTTTTCTTTTATTATTTGATTTTGGATAATACTTGGAAAGGTTATCAACATATTTTTTTCACCAGATGGCTGCCCAGTTGTCCCAATATCATTTAATGAATAAACCCCTTTTCTTCCTAATGTGAACGGCCCTTTTATCATATATGTTCTATTGGCAACCATAAACTTTTGCTTCATTCTTCATTATTTAAGTGAAGTATAAATTGGATTATAAAGGGAATGGTTATATTGAAATTATTATTATTATTATTATTATTATTATTTGAGACACAGTCTCACTCTGTTGCCAGGTGCCAGGCTGGAGTGCAGTGGCACGATCTTGGCTCACTGCAACCTCTGCCTCCCGGGTTCAAGCAATTCTCCTGCCTCAGCCTCCCAAGTAGCTGGGACTACAGGTGCACACCACCACGCNATCTCTTGACCTCGTGATCCACCCGCCTCGGCCTCCCAAAGTGCTGGGATTACAGGCTTGAGCCACCGCACTCGGCCCTACCTATTTTTATATTTATAATAAATATGTAAATATTTCTCGTGTTTCATGTCCATTCTTTATTTTTTCTGCAGGGCTCTTGTAAATGTCCACAATACTTATTCTATCCCTTTTCCTCCTCCTTCACACCCTGGTAGTTCCTCTTTGTTCATCTTGCTGTTGTACTCTGCTCTATGGACAAAATCGAGGTTCTCTACATACAGCTCAGAACATCATTGTTCTTCCCTCTTGGATAAAAAAGGTTATCTCTGTTCCTCTAAAGCTGATGCCTAGCCATAATCAGAATCTCATATGTCTTTTTTCTCCACATTTTTTTTTTTTTTTTTTGAGATGAAGTCTTGCTCTGTTGCCAGGCTGGAGTGCAGTGGCGTGACCTTGGCTTGCTGCAACCTCTGCCTCCCGGGTTCAAGCAATTCTCCTGCCTCAGCCTCCCAAGTAGCTGGGACTACAGGTGCACACCACCACGCCCAGCTAATTTTTGTATTTTTAGTAGAGATGGGGTTTCACCATGTTGGCCAGGATGGTTTCGATCTCTTGACCTCATGATCTGCCCACCTCGGCCTCCCAAAGTGCTGGGATTACAGGCGTGAGCCACCACACCCAGCCATATTGAAATTATTTACTTGTCATTTTTACACTGTAGGAAGAAATACAAAGAGAAAACTATCAGGATAATATTTCATCTATGAACATAAGTATTCAGAACACATGGAAAAATCTCAATGGAGATCATATTTGTCAAGATACCAAAGCAGAAGGCAAGGATAAAAGCCATTCTAGACAGCTTCAGAGTTATAAGTCCCATGGAGTCATGTCTAAAGCATGTACAAATGATGACCAAATGAAGACACCATTAAAGAGTGCAAATCCAGTTCATGCTTGTTATAGGCAGAGTGAACGAAATAAGACTTTATATAAAGCCAAGTCAAGCTGCAATCAAAACTTACATGAAGAAACTACTTTTGAAAATAATTTTGCTTCTCAATCAAGGTATGTTTAATAATTATTTGTAACTTTTATGTGTTCAGCAAGCATTTATTGTGTACTACTGTATGCCACACTGTTAAATACTGGGCATATAGAAATGATGTGATGAAACATAGTCTTGGGAAGAGCCTAAAGTAGGAAGTGTTGGGAAAGGAGTTTGTACAGGGAGGTATGGGCCAGTTCATCTAGGGCCTTGCAAAGTCATACTCTGGATTTTGTGGTTAAACTCACAGATTATAGGGAGTGACTAAGGATTTTAAATTGAGTGACATAACAGATTTGAATTTTAGAAAGGATACTCAGAAAATAAAACCTAAATGGAAACCGTTTACCTGAAGTAACAATGCATCCATTGATAATCTATCAGCAGTATAGCAAAAACTAGTTTTTAAATTTAATATGATAAAGAGAATAGGATGTGATGAAAATTTGGTTTGGGTTTGGCCATTTGTTTTTTCCCTGCACTTTGTCTCTAGAACATACTCTTTTTTTTCCCTTGTAGTTAGCTTATGGGGCTAGACTCGGGGTTGTAGCTTTTCTTAAACCTTTTATTGGGTTGTGCTCTTCTGATGATTACAGAGCTTAGAAAAAATGAAGAGGATGCTACTACATTTCGGGCAGGCTGAAGGGTATAAACTACGTAGCAGGAAGAAGGATTATGCCAAGACCACCCCTTTTGTCTGTTTCAAGACCATTCTTGATGTTAATTTTAACTTGATTTCTCAGGGATGGGGAGTTGGGAAGCAGTGAGATATGCTCCTGGGCCAGCCTTCTTGCCCTCCATCCCAAGCTTTCCACCCTTAACCCTATAGGGTTAGCCATATTTCTTCTTCAGTGAAGTTATTAATATTTCCATCTCTTTGAAATGCTTTTTTTCTCCGATGTAGTAGTGCCTACAAATATATGTACATGGGCAGATAGCTATGATCATAAAGCTACTGCTAAGCCTCTTACATGGTCTACAGTTCTTGCCTTTTTCTGTACTGCCTGTTATCATTGTAACAGTATAACCAAAACTTGTATTTATTCATCAAGGACCACAGGGTTCAAACACACAAATGTTTTGAGGGTTAGGAAAGGTTTTTAAATTCAGCTTTTTAAATTATTATTGTTAGCACTTTGCCATCCTGCACCCATGTTCATTTTTGCTCCCACTGATTTTGCTCTTTCCTTTTTGCCCTCATCTCTCCTACTTTCTTCTTTTTATAATCTTTTTCTTCCATATTTCTTCTGGAATCAACACTATTACCCCCTGGAGTCTTGTTTAACTCTAGATCTAGAAACAAGACTGTAATTGTTGCAGGCCCTGCTTTGGCAGAATTTGGTAGATTTTGGTACATCCTGATTCCAAGTTCCTTTTGCCTACCAAACACCCAAAATCACAACACTGCTTACAAAAATATTGGTCCACACACCAAACAGTATGTTTACTTTCAGTAATCTAGTGTTTATTTTCTTTTAGTGACCATGTTTTTAAACATCCAGTTCACATTGCCAAAAATATAAAGCAGCAGTTACCAGTAACAGGTATGGTTAAAAATGTTTCTTTGGTTTTTCAAGAAAACATATTTAGGTAACCAATATTGCTAAAAACGTACATTGGCCGGGCAGGGTAACTCATACCTGTAATCCCAACACTTTGGCAAGTGGAGGTGGGCAGATCACCTGAGGTCAGGAGTTCCAAGACCAGTCTGGCCAACATGGTGAAACCCCATCTGTACTAAAAATACAAAAATTATCCAGGCGTGGTAGTGGGCGCCTATAATCTCAGCTGCTTGGGAAGCTCAGGCAGGAGAATTGCTTGAACCCAGGAGGCGGAGGTTGCAGTGAGCCGAGATCATGCCACTGCACTCCAGCCTGGGTGACAGAGTGAGACTCCATCTCCAAA